TTGGAGCTTATTTATGAGCTTAAGAGATTCACAGAACAGGGAGAGTTCGTTTTTAAGAGCAGGCCATGAAGATTCAGCATATCTGCATTTATGAATGTACTTTGTTATAATAATGATATATGATTGACATTTAACTCTAACCTGTGAATTTCACCGTGTGCTGTGCGTTAGATGGAGCTGTACAGAAATCCACAGACAGGAATCACTTCCTGTGTCGTTCAGTGGTGCATTATGGGTAATCTCAGTCTCTCACTGAGCGTGCTCCTGTGACTGGCAGCACGTCATTGAGTGGGCGGTGTTATCCTGCATCGTCCTTATCTTGGACAAACATCCACCTCTCTGACACCACCCTATAGGGTCCAGCTTTGACGTAGAGCAGGTCACCTACTGATCAGAGGGTTGGTGGTTCGATCCCTGCATGCTAAGTATCCTAACCCCAAGTTGCTCTCCGATGCATCCATCAGATGAATGCGTCTGAATGTAGCACCAAGTATAGAGACGGTGAGTGGTGCACGTTGTATAGAGTAGAAAAGTGCTATATAAGAATCAGTGTCCACATCTCTTCTTCGCCAGTTTGTCAGCTAACTTGTGTTAGTAACAGGCCATCTTTACTCGCCGTGCTAAGTAACCATACTGTCCTTGTGGTCTCTGGATTCACCGCTCACTTCTTGGACGCTGGTCACCACCTTTCCCCATCTGCCTGGATCTCCAGATCAATCAGATTGGAGGTTGTTTACACTCTTGCTGGATGCTCACCCGGCTATCCACGCTTCTCTTCACGCCATTACCACTCCACCTGCCATAACTCAGTCTGTCTCCTCGTCTGCACGGCTTCCTGAGCCTCTGCTGATAAACCTTTCCCTCTGTTCACAGAGCCGTCTGACACACGTTGTAGCAGCACCTCTCTGGGTTTTCATTTCTTTGTGTCACCAAATAAAGCTTGTGAGAAACCTTACCATTGCTTCCCTCATATCCATATCTGGGTCCACGTATTGGTCTCTGAGCCCCGTAACACTCACAGGTCAATTCAATTAAATTTTATTTAAATAGCGCCAAATCACAACAAAAGTCACCTCAAGGTGCTTCATACTGTAAGGTAGACCCCACAATAATACATACAGAGTATCGCCCCTGTTCTTCAGTCCTGGAACTGAAGAAGCTTCTCAGATGAGAGGTGAAACGTCTTAAAGATTTACTCTACTCAGTACACGTTTAATGTACTTGTGCTACTTTCTGATACCGTTTTACTTTATTCTGGATCAAAAGATTTTACTTTGTACTGCACAGGATTTATTTTTAAGATTTAGTTTCTTATTTGTGTTATAGGAACCATGCAAAGCTGCAATGATGCAACGACATCATGTGTCCTTCTGAGAGTGCAGCTCTACAGGATGACGTGACACCAGGGGGCGACACAGAGCCTGTCAGCCACCTCACAGCAAGTTAAACATAAACAAAGGGTTAAAAAAAATTTTCTTATAATTTGAATTTATTTTTATTATAAATAAACAAAATAATAAACAATAAACTGAAAATAAGATAAGAACTAAAAATAAAAGTGATTCAGATAACAGTCAGTGTGAGTTTATTTATCATCCATCGTTACTTAGCAG